ACAAAAACTAGGGGGAGGGTGGTAATGGAAGGAAGTGGGAGGGTTGGGAGGGTGGGCTGGATTGGAAGTAAAAGGGAGAAAACTGTACTTGAACAATAATTAAAATAAAATTTAAAAAAAGAATTTTTTTTTATCACAATGGCCTGAAACTAGAAATCTACATTTTAAAAAAACATTCAAATACATGGAGGATCAATAAAACGGTTTTAAATAAAGAACAGTTTAACAATGAGATCAAGAAAGAAATAAAAAATTACCAGGAAACAAATGAAAATAAACACATAACAACACAAAAGCTACAGGACACAGAGAATGCAGCAATGAGTGTGAAGTTCATAGCTATATAGGCCTACTTAAAAAGAAAGAAAAATCTCAAATAAACAACCTAAACCTATATCTAAAAGGACTAAAAAAGAACAAAGCTCTGAGTGAGTAGAAGGATAGAAATGATCAAAATCAGAACAGAATTAAATGAAATAGATACTAAACAAAAAAATTCAAAAGATTGATGAATCCAGGAGCTGGTATATTGAAACAAGTTAACAACCTTTAACCTGACTTATGAAGAAAAAAAAAAGAAAGAACCCACATGAGTAAAATCAGAAATGAAAGGTTAGAAGTAACAACTGATACCCCAGAACACAAAGGATTGTAAGAAATTACTATGAACAACTATACACCAAGAAATCGGATGACCTGGGGAAAATGGACAAGTTTCTAGAAACATATGGTCTTCCAAAACTGAATCAGGAAGAAGCGGAAAACCTGAGTAGACCAAAAACAACTAGAGAAATTGAAGGAGTAACCAGGAGGAGTGGGGAGAGGGATAATACAGGAAGGGCCATCAAGGAAAATGTATAAGGGACACCTGAACAAAAACAAAGGGAGAAGGTCAAGGGTGGGAGGCACGAATGGGTGGGATGGGTGGGACAGGTGGGGGGGAATGATGGGGTGTAAATGGAAAACACTGTACTTAAACAACAATAAAAATAATAACTTTTAATAATTTGAAAAATATGAAGAGGTATTGACTATTTTTAAAAAATCCCAGCACATAAAAGCTCCAATTCTATGCAGCAGAAAGAAAGAAGGAGCTCCCACCCTTTGCAACAGCATGGATGGAGCTGGAAAGCATCATGCTAAGCGAAATAAGCCAGGCAGTAAAAGACAAATACTATTGATCTCACCTTTAACAGGAACCTAAACAACAAAACAAAGAAACAAGCAAAATATAGTCAAAGACACTGAAACAGAGGACAGGTTGATAGTGACCAGAGGGGAGATGGGAGAGAATTTCAGGGGAGAATGGGAAGGGTATACAGGAGCAAATATAAAGGACACAAGGACAAAAACTAGGGGTGGGGGGTGGAAATGGGAAGGAGGTGGGAGGATTGGTGGGTGGGCTGGAATGGGAGTAAAGGACAGAAAACTGTACTTGAACAATGATTAAAATAAAATAAAATAAAATAAAATAAAATAAAATAAAATAAAATAAAATAAAAAAGCTCCAGACAGATGATTTCACAGGCAAATTTTAGCAATCATTCAAAGAGTTAACACCTATCCTTCTCAAAGTATCCCCAAAAATTCAAAACAAAGGAAAGTCTTCCAATTCCAAACTCTTTTTACAGGGCCAGTATTATCCTAATTCCAAACCAGGTAAAGACATAATAAAAAAAAGAAAATTTCAGGCTAATATCTCTGATGAACTTAGATGGTAAAATCCTCAACAAAATATTAGCAAACCAGATCCAACAACACACCAAAAAATCATATGCCCTGATCAAGTGGGTTTTATCCAGGGATGCAAGGAGGGTACAATATCCATAAGTCAACAAATGTGATACACCACATAAACAAAGTGGAGGACAAAAATTACATGATTACATCAATAGATATGGAAAAAGCATTTGATAAAATTCAGCACATATTTATTATAAAAACACTCAGCAAAGTGGGAATACTGGGGGGGCACCTCAACATAATAAAGGTCATATATGAAAAATATACTGCCAACATCAAACTCAATGGGCTAACCTAAAAGCATTTCCCTACTGCAATCACTCCTTGCATTCAACACAGTACTGCAATCACTACTTGCATAGGTCTGCAGTCACTACTTGCATTCAACATAGTACTGGAAGTCCTAGCCACAGTGATCAGACAAGAAATAAAGGGCATCCCAATTGAATATTAAAAAACAACAACAACAACAAAGCAACAGCTAAAATGAAAAACCTTTAAAAAGGGTGCATACAGATTGAAAAAGAGGAAGTAAGCTGTCATTATTCAAACTCAACATGATATCACATATAGAAAACTCTGTAGTTTCCCCCCCCCCCAAAATCTACTCATCCTAATAAATGCATTTGGCAAAGTAGCAGATTACAAAGTCAATATTTAGAAATCAATGCCATTTTTATACACCAATAATGAACTATCAGAAAGAGAAATTAATACAACAATTCCATTTACTATTGCAATAATAATAATAAAGAACCTAGGGATAAAATTGACAAGGAGGTAAAAGACCTATACTCACAAAACTATAGGATACTGAAGAAAGAAACTAAGGAGGCTACAAAGAAGTAGAAAAAAAATACCTTATTCACAGACTGGAAAAATTAACTTCATTAATATGTCCATAGTACCCAAGCAATCTATAGATTCAATGCAATTCCTACTAACATACCAAGGGCACATGACACAGATCTGGAACAAATATTCTAAAAATTTATATGGACCCAAAAATGAACCCCAAAAGCCTCAGCAATCTTGAGACAGAAGATACAAGTTGGAGGGATAACAATTCCTGATATCAAACAATACTACAAGGCCACTGTAGTCAAAGCAGTCTGGTACTGGCATAAGAACAGACACATAAATCAGTGCAATGGATGGAGAGCCCAGAAATAAACCCAAGTTTTTATGGTCAATTAATATTTGATAAAGGAGGCAAGAGCATTCAATGGAGTAAACAAAGTCTCTTCAATGAATGGTGTTGGAAGAACTGGACTGGTACATGCAAAACAAATGAATCTAGACCACCTTCTTACACAATACACCAGAAAAAAACTCAAGATGGATAAAAGACTTAAATATAAGTAATGATACCACAAAAATCTTAGAGGAAAGCACAAGCAGTAAAATTTTCAATATCTCACATAGTGATGTTTTTCACAATACAACTCCCAGGTCAAGGGAGATAAAGGAAAAATAACCACTTGGAACTATATCAAACTAAAAATCTTTGGCACAGTTAAACAAACCATCCTCAAAATGAAAAGGAGATCAACTGCATGGGAGAACACATTTGCCAAAGATACACTCAAAAAGGGTTTAACCTCCAAAATACATAAAGAGCTAATATGACTCAACACCGGGAAGACACAAAAAGCAACCAAAAAAAAAAAAAAAAGAGGGGACAAAGGAACTGAATAAACACTTCTCCAAGCAGGACATACAGATATCCCATAGACATATGAAAAAGTGCTCAACATCACTAGCCATCAGAGAGATGCAAATTAAAACCATAATGAGTTATCACCTCACACCCATCACAATGGCTATCATTAATAAATCAACAAACAAGTGCTGGTGAGCATGAGGAGAAAAGGTGGAACCCAAGTGCACTATAGAGGAATTTCTCACTGGTGCACCATTGTGGAAAATAGTATAGAAGTTCCTCAAAAACTAAACATGGAACTTCCTTTTGACCCAGCATTTTTGCTCCTGATATTATACCCTAAGAGTCCCAAACCACCAATTCCAAAGAATTTATGCACCCCCATTTGTATAGCAGTCCTATTTACAATAGCCAAGATTTGGAAACAGCCTAAGTGCCCATCAGTAATTGAGTGGATTAAAAACTGTGGTACATCTCCACAATGAAATACTAGGCAACAGAAAAAAAGGAATTCTGACCTTTTGCAACAGCATGGAAGGAACTGGAGAGTATTATGCTAAGTTAAATAAGCCAGTCAGTGAAAGACAAATACTGTATGATTTCAGTTATAAGAGGAATCTATGGACAAAATAAGCTAATGAGCAAAATAGAACCAGAGACATGGAATCATAGAACAGACTGACAGCTGTAAGAGGGGAGGGGAGAGGCAGGGACTGATTGAAAAAAGGTGAAGAGATGAGTAAATGAACATATATGAGAACCCATGGACATGGACTATGGGTGTGGGAATTGTCTAGGGAAGTGTGGTATGTGCTGGGCAAAGGGTGGCAAAGGGCCAACTGTAATAGCATAAACAATAGAAGAGTAAAAATGTAATATCTTCAGCAGATTCAAAGAGACAAATGATAGCAAACAGATTCAATGCTGTAAGAAATTATTAACCTAAGCTATTACATAAATCAATTATATTAACATGTGTTTTACATTTTAATTTTATATAACTTTAATGCTAAAAAGCAGATTTTTTAAAAAATTATTGACTTTAAAGAGAAAGGGATGGAGAAAGAGAGAAAACATGGATTTGTTCTTTCACTCATTTATGCACTCATTGATTGATTCTTGTATGTACTCTGACCAGAGATCAACTCAAAACCTTGGTGTGTAAGGACAATGCTCTAACAAACTGAGTTACTTGGCCAGGGCAACATGACAGTTTTAAAAATTAACTTTATTAGGGTAACATTGGTTAATAACCTATATCAATTTCAGATGTACAAGTTTAAAATAATACAGCATCTTTATATTCTATTGTGAATTCACCACCCAAAGTCTGGTCTCCTTCTGTCAGCATACATTTCATACCCTTTACCTTCCTTGTCCTACCCCCTACTGGTCTTCCCTCTGCTAACTACAATTCTGTTGTCTGCATCTATGAATTTGTGCGGTTTTTTTTGTTGTTGTTGTTTTTCTTCTACTCTCTACCAGCAGGTCAAAGAACACTGAAGATGAAACAATATTTAACCAAAAGATCACAGAGAGTGCTTGTTGGGAAATCAGTTTGCATTTAGTATTTAAAAAATTTTGAGGTTATAAACTTTCAATTGCACTTATGCAAAACACATCAATGGATCTCTTCATAGTCTTGGCGATTTGTCTTTCTTGTTTGATTCTCCTTTTCCTATGGAACCGAAGCTATGCCCAAGGGAAGCTGCCACCTGGTCCTACTCCTCTCCCAATTGTTGGAAACGTTCTACAGATAAATATTAAGAACATCAAGGAATCCATAAGCAAGGTTAAGTATGATTAATTTTCTTCCAATCATTTGCAATGAGTAAATAAGACAGTGCTATATCTAAGTAAAATATGGACCTAGACACCATGCGTTAAAGAAGTCGTTTGAAAGGGAAGTGTTCACTGGACATGCAGATACAATTCCATTTTTAAAATTTAATTAAATATTCTGGGGTAACACTGATTAATAACATTTTACATACCTCAGGTGTACAAATCCATAATACATCACCTATATATTGCATTGTGGGCTCACCACACAAAGTCTAATGTCCTTCTGTGACCGTGTATCTCACCCTCTTTATCTTCTTTCTCCTCCACTCAACCCTCCCACCCTTTTGGCAACTACCATACTGTTTGTGTCTAAAAGTTTAGTTTTTTGTTTATTTGCTGCTTTCTGCTTTGTATCCCACACATGGTCCTTGTCCTTTTCCACATGACATGATTTTAAGCATCTCACAGCTAGAGGTGTCCAAAAGGGAATGAGAACAATGAGGTGATTGTTAAAATCTTCAAAAGGAGGAATTCCCTGTCAATGTTGTGAGCTAGGTCTTCTTTGTAGTAATTAATCTTTGGTGAACTCTAATAACAATGAAAGTACTTTCAGATTTTGAAAAAAATTACTGATTTATAGATTCACAACACTAAATTTTCCTAAAAGCACACTGTTGTGGAGTTACGGAAATAACTATAGGTTCAGGAACTTTCACTTTCTATTAGATTTGCTCAACATGTAAGTGAATAACTGCTCTGCTCTTTGCTATTTATACAGTAATGGTTCTCTAAATATTGAGGGGCTTTTCTGAAATCTGTCTTCCCAGACACAGTTGGTTAACAGAGCTGTGCCCCTGGAAACTCCTTCCTGTGTTTCAGACTCTGGATTCCAAGGGATGTGTCAGAATCCTTTAACTTTCAGCCTTGGGCAAACTTTTTAAAATCCATCTGACTTCAGTTTCCATTTCTTTAAAAATGATCGCTAACCCTGGCTGGCGTAGCTCAGTGGATTGAGAGTGGGCTGTGAACCAAAGTGTCGCAGGTTTGATTCCCAGTCAGGGTACATGTGTGGGTTGCAGGGCATGGCCCCCAGCAACTGCACATTGATGTTTCTCTCTATCTCTTTCTCTCTCCCTTCCCTCTCTAAAAATAAATAAATAAAATCTTTAAAAAAATAAAAATAAGTAAAACATTAAAAAATTACTGATAATTATTCTGTACAAATTATTAGTTATATATTCAACAAGTTATCAAATTAATACTTTGTATTAGACACCATGTTAAGTGCTTGGAATTTTTTTCAATACTATTTTGTATTGGTTTCAAGGGTACAGCATAGTAATTTCACAATCACATACTTCACAAAGTGTTCACTCTAACATTTCAGGTAGGTAACCATCTGGCACACTACATAGTTATTACAATATTATTGACTGTATTCTCTATGCAGTACTTTACATGCAGTGACTGTTCTGTAAATACTGATTTCTACTTGTTTTAATTTTATTTTTTATTAAAGATTTTTATTTATTTATTTTTAGAGGGGGAATGGAGGGAGAAAGAGAGAGAGAGAGAGAAACATCAATGTGCGGTTGCTGGGGGTCATGGCCTGCAACCCAGGCATGTGCCCTGACTGGGAATCAAACCTGCGACACTTTGGTTCATAGCCCACGCTCAATCCACTGAACTACGCCAGCCAGGGTGATTTCTATTTCTTAACCCCTTCACCTCTTTCACCTGTTCCCCTAAACCCTCATTCCCTCTGGCAATTACCAGTCCTGCCTCAGTGTCTATCAGTCTGTTTCAATTTTGTTTGTTTGTTTTTGTTCTTTACATTTCACATATAAGCGAAATCATATGATATTTGTCTTCCTCTGACTGACTGATTTCACGTACCATAATAACCTTTTGATCCATCATGCTGTTGTAAATGGCAGGATTTTAGTCTTCTTTGGTGCACTAGGAATTTCCAATGGTGAATGGGGAAAAAAAGTCCCGAGAATTATAGAATTTACAATCTCAAGGGTAGGCATGAATTTATGATATAATATGCAAATAACTGTATGATGACAAATGAAGTGACAGGGATCCAATGGACACCAGCCATGGAGTTTGGCAGGCTAGGGGGAGGAGGACCAGTCAGCAAAGAGTTTTCTAAGGAATTGAATTTGGAGCTGAGATCTAAAGAATGATCAGGCATTAACTAGACAAAAATCAGATAAAAAATTTGTCTCAGGATTTTCCAATGTGGAGAAGAATGACTTGAGAGTCCTGGAAAAGGGAACAATTTGATTATAGCCCAGAAAGTATTGTAAAAATATACCATGAGTTGAAATTGAAGAGTTCAACTGGGACTAGAGCATGATGGTTTACAAGGATTTTAAGAATTGTGGTCTTTAGCAGAAGAGCAATGTGATGACTTTAACATGCTTAAAGGACTGTTGTGTTAACATTTGCCTTGTGGAAAGACCACTCTGGATAATGAATTGGAAAATGAATTGTAGTTGCAGAATGAATTTTAAGGTAGCAGAAGGACTCAAACATTGGATAGCTGGAAAGACTTCAAGTCCTACTATGCTGAATTAGCTGCCAGAAGAGAAAGACTCCCATAATGCAATGGCTTAAAAAAGTCAAGAGTTTATTTGTATCTCCATAAGATACAGAAGTGATTGCTGGTGGGCTGCCTTTCCTCTATGAAGCTATTCAGAGAACCAGTTTTTCTCAATCTTGTGGTTTACCTTCCTTTGCCCTTAGGCTCTTGTTTTCATTTTCATAGTCAGAGTGGACCATCTGCATGCTGGTTACCTCAACCCTGAGCAGTGGGAGAAGCAGAGAGCATGTTGTGACCATTTATGCCACAGTGTAGGATTTTCCCACGTGATCACTTCTGCTGACATCAGCTGATGGAAGCTTAGTCACATGGCCACACAGGGAAGCTGGGAAAGGTGTGTAACAAGGCTGCCATGTGCTTATGTAGTAATAGAACATAGAGGTCTCTGGTGCTAACGAGAAGATGCAGAGAATGGGTAGTGAGGGATGATTATTTGCCTGCACCTGGGACAAGATGGGAAAACTTCACTTAAACAGGAGATATGTATCACTTATCATAATGCAAGTATAGGAAGGAAGGAAATTTGGAGCAATTAAAGTTTGGCAGAAAGAAATTAATAAAATAACATGAACAAAATTTATGACAGAGTCATATAAGATAACTACTAAAGGTGATAATAATAATAGCAATATTACCAATACCATAATAATAATAATTACCATTTAAGTAATTGGTTTCTATTAAATTGCTGGATCTAGAAGATGAAATCTGGTATAATGAGTGAATGGATATTAAAATGTCTCTCAGTAAGATTAAAAGTATTTATCTCACTTATCTCCATTCTTAGTTTTGAAATTCTCACTCTTCTTGCATCTCCTATTTCTTTCTTAGCTAGCAAAAGTCTACGGCCCGGTGTTCACTGTGTACTTTGGAAGGAAGCCCACTGTGGTGCTCTATGGATATGAGGCAGTGAAGGAAGCCCTGATTGATCGGGCTGAGGAGTTCTCTGGCAGAGGCAGTTTTCCAATTATAGACAATATCTTCCAGGGATCAGGTATGCTTCAATCTGGGGAACGTGTGTGTATTCATAAGTTGCAAAGATTCCAAATAGGCTAAGGAACTGAGAGACTTAAACATAGAGAAATGTATGGAAAAATATACTTCCAAAATTTTCCATGAAGGATCATTAATCCATATTTAAAATTCTGAGGGTGACACAATGTCTCCATAAAACAATAAATGCAATTTAAAGAAATTCACAAAACACTAATGTTCTATGAATTTGTGACTAAGCTATGTTCATTATGCCTTTAAAGATTTTATTTGTTTTTAGAGAGGGAGAAGGGAGGGAGGAAGAGAGGGAGAGAAATATCAATGTGTGAGAGATAAATTGATTGTCTGCTCTCAAACACTCCCTACTAGGGACCTGGCCCACAACCCAGGCATGTGCTTTGACTGGGAATAGAACCAGAGATGTTTTAGTTCACAGGCTGGCACTCAATCCACTGAGCCATTCCAGCCATGGCTAAGCCATGTTCATTTTCAGTTATGGCCTGTTAAGAAAGAGAAAGAGGCAGAGAGAAAAGAGGGATGAGGATATTCACCAAATTATCCTATTCTCCAAATATTTTGCTTTCTATCCTGACTCATGGTTGCCAAGAGATTATTTTATAAAGCTTGCATTGTATGCATGGAACCAACATAACAATGGAATATTTCCAACCTTATCTTTAATTCTTCTCATATTCTAAAAAGGATAAGTAATATTTGGATTCAATAGAATACAAAGCATAAAGCACAAATATGCACTGAAAAGGGGACTATGGAGAAACACATAGTAAGAATGAATTGGAATTGATATTACAAAAAGCTGTTTAAAGTAATTACTTGAACTATCTTTCATCTGTGTTTGGAGCACACTTAAACTGTCCAGTCCTCTGGAGGGTCCCTGGGTTCTGACTAAATTAGATAAAGTCTGAATGGGGTCATTTTTTCTTCCACTTATTGTCAACAATCTTGATCAAATTTCCCATGAGCATTGTTTCCCAACCCTTCCCCACACACCCAACTCCCGTTGTCTTGACTCGGGAAGTCTGATGTTGAATTTCCTTGGTATTACAAGCACATTACAAAACTGGCCAGTAGCCAGTGGATTAGAGCATCATTGAGATACACCAAAGTTGTGGGTTGGATACCTGGTGAAGGCACATGAAAGAATGAACAATGACTGCATAAATAAGTAAAACAACTCTCTCTCTCACCTTGCCTGAGAATTAGATTTTCATGAGCATCCTTCTAATGCACAAGAGCTCTCTCTCCTTCTTTCAAGAATTGACTCCATTTGTTGCTGCTCCTAAAATTTACTTACAATGCATAGAAGTTGACCCTGAAAATTTAACCTGTTACTCAGGCTCACCACAATTTATTAGCTGTGTGATCAAGTAGTAAACATATTGCCTTTGTGATATTCAGCTTTCTTATCAGTTAAATGGTGACAATAACTAGGTCACAGAGTTATTGTGACACTTATAAGCATTAATGTATGAATAACAGTTTAATAATGTGTAAAGCCAAGAGTCTTGACAGTAAGCTTCTAGGCTGGGGTAATAGAGATGGCAGGCAAAGTAGGACTCAGTAGGAATTCCTAAAGCTGGTAACACTATATTTACATTTCTGCTTAAGTGACATTATCATTTCCTGAGATAAAAGTCCCTCACCTAGAATTAATGAAAATTGAAGTCTTCTTTAACATTTATGTTTTGTCATGATAGGTATTGTTTTCAGCAATGGGGAAATATGGAAACAAACTCGGCGATTCTCCCTCATGGTTTTGCGGAATATGGGAATGGGAAAGAAGACTATTGAAGACAGAATACAAGAAGAAGCCTTGTGTCTGGTGGAAGCATTACGAAAGACCAATGGTGTGTATGTCTTTGTATAATTACTAGGAATAGTTTGGGTAGACTGAATGCTGTTACAAGTAGATCAAATGTTGTTACAAGTAGATCATAGAGAGATACAATGGTTCAAGTGGGGCCTAAGTTTACTTTTTGCTCACATACCAGTAGTAAGAGGTGAAGGGGTTGGTTTTTTCAGGCCTTTCAGGTACCAGGCTGTTAGGGGCTTTGACATCTTCACCATGTGGCTTCCAGTGTTACCCAGGATTCATCTGTTTTCATGGTAGTGGGAGGAGCAAAGAACAAGGAAAGGAGCCAATAGTGTTTTGAATGGGCCAGTTAAGGCCATGGTCCACAAGCTTTCTTTCCCATTCCTTGGGCTGTAGCCTAATCAAAGGGCTACACCTACCTCTAAGAAGAACTGGGAACTATAGTTATCTAGGTATTCAGGAAGAAGAGAACACAGATTTTGCTAATCAACTAGTAGTTTTGGCCACAATAACTCGAAAAATTAAGGAACTTCTCTAGTAACTTCTTGAGAAACATTGCAAATATCTCACAATATATGTACATTAATTCATTATGCTGTGTATCTTAAACTTATACAGTGCTGAATGTCAATTATATCTCAGTATAACTGAAAACAAAGCACTGGTGGTTCAAGGTAGAATCCATGTCAAATTCTTTTCAATGCACAGGGCTGCATTACAGATGAGCTAGGAGTGTAGGGTGAAGAAAGGAGGGAGCTGTGGTAGCCCACATATGTTCAGTGTGTATATATCAGTGTATATGTGCAGTGTGTATGTGTCTATGTACACACAGGACTAGGAGAGAGGGTGGTAGAGAAAGGGGTGGGCAGGAGACTTGGCAAGAAAGTGGTAAGATCAGGAACATGAGACATATGTGGTTTTTAACCACAATATTTAAATATTTTCCAAAAACATTATTTATATAATAACTCATCTATGAGAGAGAGAAACATCAATTGGTTGCCTCCCACAACCAACTCAGCAATCTGGCTAGGACAGAGTTCTGTTTTTAAACTGTCTAGATGGGTTATTTCCCTTTCTCTAATATTAATATAAAAATGCTATGATTGCATACATTTGCATAATTCTGAGGTCTTCCTTAGAATGGATTTCAGGAAATAGTAGAAGATATCAATGAACAACATTGTTTGGAGTTTTGACACATATGACCTAGGAATGGGAGGAAGACCTGGCAGAAGAAGGGATAAGATTATGAGGCCTGTACTGGGTATATTGTTTTGTGACCTTATGTTTAAATTTAGTATATTAAATACCTATTTTTCACATGTTTAATTTTCAAATATTTTTAAAGAACATTATTAATGAAACAGCACACTATTCCACTATGTTGGATGTACCATAGTTTATTTAACTGGTCTTTTATTTTTGGCCAAATAGTCAATTTTCAGTGCCTTGTTGCTATTTATATAAAAATAATGCAATCCATATAAACCATTGCATATCCCTGAGTACTTTCCTGAGAACAAAATTTTGGAAATGGAATTAATATGTGAACAAATGTTGAGTTTTGATACATATTATCTGGAAAATGATTTTGTGTGCTTAATGTATATTTCAAGCAGAGTTCATTATTGACTGGTTCCTCTTTCCCCATAGTAATGCAACTCACACACCCAGCTTTTTAAAAAATTTTATGGATTTATTTTTAGAGAGAAGGTAAGGGAGAGAGAAAATGAGGGAGAGAAACTTCCATCAGTTGCCTCTGGCCTGCCCCTAACAGGGGACTTGGTGAGCACCTAGACATGTGCCCTGATGGGAATTGGACCACAGACATTTCAGTCTGCAGGACAGCATTCAAAACGATGATCCTCAGCAGTCAGGGCACATCCAACATCTTTCCACTGCATTTTGTAAAAAAGCATTGCAAGTCTGCTTGGTCTTCTGTATTTTCTTACTAGATTGCTCAATTTCTTGTGGGCACCATGAAGAAGAATTCATAATGAAGACTAAATTTTATACCTTTTAACATATACTTACCGCATAAAAATGAAATCTTACCATTTGTGAAAGCATGGAAGGACCAAGAGGACCTTATATTAAATAAAATAAGTCACCCAGAGAAGAAAAATACCATATATTTCACTTATATGTGGAATTTAAATAACAATATAAGCTAACAAGCAAAACAGAGATAGACTCATAGACACAGAGCACAGACTGGTGGATGCCAGAGGGGAGGAGGGCTGGGCGACTGAGTGAAGGGATTAAGAAGTAGGGAGGTGGGATGGCTGGGGTGGGGGTAGGATTGTTGTGGGGAAAAGGCAGACAACTGTACTTAAACAACACTAAAATAATAAGTATGTAAATATATCTATAAAGAGAGAGAAGTACAGATTTGCACTTACAGAATATGCATAGTCACGGGGATATAAAGTACAGCATAGGAAACAGTAACGTATATTGTAAATTTTTCAAGATATTTTTTAAAAACCTCCTTTTTGTGAATTACATTGTGGCTCTTATTTGGAGAATGCTGTAAACAGGAGAACACATTGTGGGGAGAATTAAGAAATAAATTGGACTGGATTAGACACTTCTGTCTGGGGAAACACAATAATGTTATTTTAGGCATGTTGAGTTTCGAGTGATGGTGGCATGTCTAGGTACTTCCTATACTTAAAAAGGCTTTGAGGTCAACCCATCTCAATGATTTTAAACAGTCAGCTGGAGACTAAAATGAAATTTCTAAACTAACTTAATTTATATTGTTTTTAGCATCTCCCTGTGATCCTACTTTCCTTCTGAGCTGTGTTCCCTGCAATGTGATCTGCTCCATTATTTTCCAAAACCGTTTTGAGTACAGTGACAAGCAATTTCTAACCTTGATAAACTATTTTCATGAGAACTTCAGAATTGTAAGCACCTTCTGGATACAGGTAAATTCAAGGTTCTCTTGAAGTAGGGAATAATTTTTTGACTAATCTATTGCTCATATATACCACATCCTTTTGCCCTATTTCACAATGTCTGAAGTGTTTATCACACTGTTGTTTTTTCCCAATTAGTGAGTTATCAAATCAATTCAATGTGCAAAAATTAAATTTAAAACATGAAATATAGTAATAGAAAGAAAATATTGTCATAGTGTACCAAATTATGCAAGGTAATTTTTTTTGAGGAATCATTTTTCCTGATTTTTACACACATAGAGGAAGAAGGTTCTGGTATAAAATATTTCTTTTTTTAACTTTCTTTTAATTGTCATTCAAGTACAGTTGTCTGCATTTCCCCACCACCACCACTTCCCCCAATACCAGCCATCCCCCCTTCCCTCCCCTGTTTCAACTGCCCATGATTTTGTCCATGTGTCCTTTATAGTTGTTTTGAAAACCCTTCCCAGCTTTTCCCTCATTATCCCCTCCTACCTTCCCTCTTATTATAGTACATTGTAGGAAAATATTAGTCGCCTATGATATATGATGATTAACAACTAAAATCCTGTGTGGATTATAAGGTCATGACAGGTTCCACCTGGAAGAGACCCTGGTGAACAAATAGTCAACTCATTTTTTAGAGCAGTAACTATCACCAACACATACGATGTATATTCTCCAAAGCAGCTTATCTGTCACAAAGAATGAGTCAACCTAGAATCTAGATTTCTCCATTCTCTATCTAGTCTGATACAAACTACCAGCCTGAATTAATTGTTTCAGTACCTACCAAGAGTATTATTAAGTCATGAAGGTACTGGTTACAGCAAATCAATAAACTCTGGGATGGGAAAGACCCAATAATTACAAGCAATGTGCATGTTCTTGAGGTTGTAAAATCCTAAATAAAACTATGCTAAGTAATTTGGGCATTCTCTTAATCTTCCCAATGTACTGTTTCTTCACTATAAAACTAGGGTATGAATGCTACAAACTTTTTTGATGCCTGTAGAAATAGGTGTAGGGTAAACTGTGGAGAACACTGACCTCTAGCTCTGTCACTACTTTGTCTTAGACTGGTGGACTATCCTTTCTGAAGTTCAGTAACCTCATCTGGAAAGAGGTGGTTGGCCCCTGAATTCCTTCAGAGAGTTATCATTAGGAAATGAATGTAAATGGTTTAGGAATTGCTTTGTAAATTGTGTGTTCTGTGACTCTAGACATTTTATCAGTTCCTTGTCTTTCAACTCTTTTTATCTTTATTTACTCAGCATGTAGCAAAGTCTCTGATTTGCAATATAGGCCTGTAAATGTAGGCTGAGTGACTAATGAATGGTTTTTTACTCTTTCAGCTCTACAATTCTTTCCCCTTTTTAATACATTATCTCCCAGGAAGTCATAATGAATTATTTAAAAACATTGCTGAACAGAAAAAATTTATTTTGGAGAAAGTAAAAGAACACCAGGAATCCCTAGACCTCAACAACCCTCGAGACTTTATTGACTACTTTCTGATTAAAATGGAAAAGGTATAAATAACCCTGTTTCAACTTCACCTTTTTTTCTTTGTTCTTTACTATTGTTTAAGTACAGTTCTCAATTTCCCCCTAAGCACTCCCCCCACCCCATGCATCTCCATGTCCCACCCACCATCCTAACCCCATTTGTGGCTTTGTTCATGTGTCCTTTACACATGTTCCTTGATGACCCTTCTCCTTTCCCCACCCACATTATCCCCTCATGCCTCCCCTCTGGTTACTGTCAGTGTGTTCTTTATTTCAATGTCTCTGGTTATATTTTGCTTGCTTTTTTAATTGTTATTGATTAGTTTCCCCTTATAGGTAATATCATGTGGTATTTGTCTTTCACCACCTGGCTTATTTCACTTAGCATAATGTTCTCCAGATCCATCCATGGTGTTAATGAAGTGTAGGAGCTCCTTCTTTCTGCTACGTAGTGTTCTATTGGGTAAATGTGCCATAGTTTTCCTCTTTGTGTGTGACGTGACTCATGGATTAGTTTTGATCTATCCTGTAAAATTAGGATATTAAAACAAGCCTATCCCTGGCTGGCCTAACTCAGTGGATTGAGCACGGGCCATGAACCAAAGCATCGCAGGTTCGATTCCAAGTCAGGGCACATGCCTGGGTTGCAGGCCACAGCCCCCAGCAACTGCACATTAATGTTTCTCTCTGTCTCTCTTTCTCCCTCCCTTCCCTCTCTAAAATTAAATAAATAAAATCTTTAAAAAAAAGAGTGAGGGCTTAATAACCAAAAGTACTATTAAAAAATTTTAAAATACTAAAACAAAAAAACCAGATGCCTCTTCCTAAAGAGGTATTAATTGTTTGTGCAACGTCTTACTAATGCAAACAATGCTTGATGGCTTGAGATAGTTTGAAATTCTCACTAAATATGACTTACAAGAGTTTATATTTACCTTTTTAAAGCTGATTTTTATTGTGAGCAGATTGAACTACATACATTCAGGAAGCACACACATTCTAGATTAATGATAAATGACACATGTCATTCATACACTAAGTTCCATAAATGCAAGATACAACATGTGAGGGAACACAGGAATGGATAGGAATCAAGAAAGACTTACCTTTGGAAAGATACCAGGACATCTTCCAAGATGAGGCAGTGTTAGAGGAAACTCTGGCTTAGAATAACAGATGAGACACAATAGGTCTAGGGAATGATGATCAAGTGTGTGGAATTCTCATAGAAGTTATCTTGACGTAATTGAGGAACTGTCATGGGTGTAATGACTGGTGACATTGGGAATAGTGATGCAATTACAGGGGATGGTTTGATGCTTGAATGAGAAATTTAGACGTGATAAAATAGACAAGAGATGCTAGAACTGAAAGTGAGTGGCCATGATGACTTGATAAAAACTATGTTTGAAAGAACTGATTGGCTCTCATGGATGAGAAAGTAGGGATATCAGAAATGACTCATTGAAAGTTTATAAATCTGATTTTATGTATGTAGGTATGTATTTATTTATTTATTATACATGTGTTTTTTTATTGCTATTTGGTTACTGTTGTGTCACCTTTCTCCCCATTTCTCTCCCCAGCCCTGTCCCCACCCCCACTTCCACAGAATTTGATAATGTTTATTGAGTTTATTTATTTAGTTAGTTCTTTATTTATGTGTTAATGGTGTTTTTTGTTGTTGTTCAAGTATAGTTCTCTCCATTTCCCCTCCACTGCTCACCCTCTCACACATCCCCACCTTGCACCATGGATCCTACTCCCGTTTGGATTTCTCCATGTGTCCTTTATACATGTTCCTTGATGACCCTTCCTCTTTCCCTTCCCCTCCCATTACCCCCACTCCCATCACTCTGGTTACTATTGGTTTCTTCTTTATTTCAATGTCTCTGGTTATATTTTGCTTGTTTCTTTCCACAGTTTAAAGGAACCTTAACAACTCATCTAACTTTACCTTTAGCTTTATATTCTCTAATATCTGACTTAATTTATCAAATAAGACAGTTAAGCAAATAATGATGTTGTACTGAGTTATGTTATGGTATCCCTAAGGCTCCTTTATTTATCAAGTAATTCTAATACATCATTCCTAGGAAAAGCACAATAAACACTCTATATTTACTATGGACCACTTGATCACCACCATATTGGATGTGTTTGGTGCAGGAACAGAAACCACGAGCTCCACCCTTAAATATGGAGTCTTGCTTCTGCTGAAGCACCCGGAAGTTACAGGTAAGACCACAGATGATGGGTGAGATGAAGTTCTGGGAAACTACTGGCAGGAAACACTGGTGACTATTCCACTCTTCACCTGCCTAGATGATGCACATGAAAAATTTCCATCAGTGATATATCTTCCTATCATTGGATGAGTTAAATTCAAATTAGATTATGGTACAAAAGGAGAAAAAAAGTATGTAACTAGCAGCACAGATTTGAAGGGCAGAGGTCATTGTTCTCCCTCCTATGGTGGAATGTCTGTGTATTGGGTCAGACCAGATGTATACACAGAATTGTCTTAGGATCTAGAGAGAACTAGTTTTCTTCTTTCCATAAAAAGATATCAACTGGTATATCTTCCATGTCCAGATGAACATATTTTTGGTAAAAGATACTTCTACTCAAATGCATTTGGAATTGAAAGAGTTACAACGAAATTGTAATCTTTCTTTTTTTTTAAAATTTAATTGTTGTCGCAGTAGAATTTTCTATCTTTTACTCCCATCCCAACTCATCCACACAGCCCTCCCCTCCTCCCTCCCATTTCCACTCACCCCTAGTTTTTATCCATGTGTCCTTTATACTTCTTCCTGTAAACCCTTCCCCTTTCCCCCTGAAATTCCCCTGAAACTCCCTCTCCTCTCCCCTCTGAACATTGTCAGACTGTTCTCTATTTCAGTGTCTTTGGTTATATTTTGCTTGTTTCTTTGTTTTGCTGATTAGGTTCCTGTTAAAGGTGAGATCATATGGTATTTGTCTTTCACCACCTGGCTTATTTTGCTTAGCATAATGCTATCCAGTTGCATCCATGCTGTTGCAAAGGGTAGGAGCTCCTTCATTCTTTCTGCTGCATAGAATTCCATTGTGTAAATGTACCATGGTTTTTTGATCCATTCATTTACTGATGGGCGCCTAGGTTGCTTCCAACACTTGGCTATTGTAAATTGTGCTGCTATGAACATTGGGGTGCATAGGTTCTTTTAGATTTGTGTTTCAGGGTTCTTAGGATATAACCCTAGCAGTGGAGTTGCTGGGTCAAAAGGAAGATCCATTGTTAGTTTTCTGAGAAAACTCAGTACTGTTTTCCATAGTGGTTGTACCAGTCTGCCATTCCACCAACAGTGCACTAGGGTCCCCTTTTCTCCACAACCTCTCCAACACTTGTTTGATGCTTTGTTTATGATGGCCACTCTGACTGGTGTGAAGTGGTATCTCATTGTGGTTTTAATTTGCATCTCTCTGATGGCTAGTGATGCTCAGCATCGTTTCATGTGTCTCTGGGCCCGCTGTATGTTCTTTTTGGAGAAGTGTCTGTTCAGGTCCTTTGCCCATTTTTTAATTGGGTTGCTTGTCTTCTTAGAGTGTAGTCATGTAAGTGCTTTATATATTTTGGAGATTAAACCCTTGTCTGAGGTATCATTGGCAAATATGTTTTCCCATACAATTGATTCTCTTTTTATTTGAATACTGTTTTCTTTAGCTGTGCAGAAGCTTTTTATTTTGATGAGATCCCATTTGTTTATTCTTTCCTTTATGTCCCTTGCTCTGGGGGACATATCAGTAAAAATGTTGCTGCGTGAAATATCTGAGATTTTCCTGCCTATGTTCTCCTCTAGGACTTTAATGGTGACATGACTTATATTTAGGTTTTTTATCCACCTTGAATTTATTTTTGTGTATGATGTAAGTTGGTGCTGGAGTTTCATTTTTTTTGCATGTAGCTGTCCAGTTCTCCCAACACCATTTGTTGAAGAGACTGTTTTTACTCCATTTTATGTTCCTGACCCCTTTGTCAAATATTAATTGGCCGTAGAAATAAGCCCAATTAACTTTGGTTTATTTCTGGACTCTCTGTTCTGTTCCATTGGTCCATATATCTGTTCTTATGCCAGTACCAGGCTGTTTTGATTACAGTGGCCTTGTAATACAGTTTGATATCAGGTATTGTGATCCCTCCTACTTTGCTCTTCTTTCTCAAACTTGCAGCAGCTATTCGAGGTCATTTACGGTTCCATATAAATTTTTGAAAGGTTTGTTCTTTGTCTGTGAAATATGCCATTGGTACTTTAATAGGTATTGCATTGAATCTATCTATAAATCTTTGGGTAGTGTGGACATTTTGATAATGTTAATTCTTCCAATCCATGAGCATGGTACGTGTTTCCATTTGTTTGTGTCTTCCTTAATTTCTTTCTTCAGTGTTGTGTAGTTTTCTGTATACAGGTCTTTTACTTCCTTGATTAGATTTATTCCTAGGTATTTTGTTTTTCTTTTTGCTATATAAAATGGGATTTTTTTCTTCATTTCTGCTTTTGCAGTTTCAATGTTGGTATACAAAAATGCCTTTGATTTCTGGATATTGACTTTGTATCTCGCTATTTTGCCAAATTCGTTTATTAGGTCAAGCAGTTTTTTGGTAGAGTCTATAGGATTTTCTACGTACACTATCATGTCATCTGCCAACAATGACAGTTTTGTTTCCTCCTTTATGATTTGGATGCCTTTTATTTCCTTTTCTTGTCTGATCGCTGTGGCTATACTTCCAATACTATATTGAATAAAAGTGCTGAAAGTGGAGAACCTTGTCTTGTTCCTGATCTTAGTGGAAAAGATTTTAGTTTTTGCCCATTGAGTATGATGTTGGCTGTAGGGCTCTCATATATGGCCTTTATTATGTTGAGGAATGCTCCCCCTATTCTCACTTTGCTGAGTGTTTTTATCATAAATGGGTGCTGTACCTTATGAAACGCTTTTTCTGAATCTATTGATATGATCATGTGATTTTTGTCTTTGTTTTTTATGTGATGTATTACATTTACTGATTTGCAAATATTAAACCATCCTTGCATCCCTGGGATGAATCCCACTTGGTCATGGTGTATGATCTTTTTAATGTATTGTTTGATGTGGTTTATCAATATTTTGTTGAGGATTTTAGCATCTATGTTTATCAGTGATATTGGCCTGAAGTTTTCTTACATTGTTGTGTCTTTATCTGGTTTTGGGATTAGGATGATGCTGGCTTCATAAAAAGAATTTGGGAGTCTTCCATCATTCTGGATTTTTTGGAATAGTCTGTGAAGGATAGGGGTTAGCTCTTCCTTAAATGCTTTGTAGAATTCTCCTGTGAAACCATCTGGACCCGGACTTTTGTGTGTCGGGAATTTTCTTGATTACTGCTTCAATTTCATCTCTGTTATTCGTTTGTTCAGGCTTTCTGCTTCTTTTTTTATTGAGTTTTGGAAGATTATACTTTTCTAGAAATTTGTCCATCTCACCTAGGTTTTCAAATTTCTTAGCATATGGTTCTTCATAGTAATTTCTTACAATCCTTTGTATTTCTGTGGTGTCCGTTGTAATCCCTGCTCTTTCATTTCTAATTGTGTTCATTTGGATCCTTTCTCTTTTTTTCTTGATGAGCCTGCTTAAAGGCTTGTCGATTTTATTTATCTTTTCAAAGAACCAGCTCCTGGATTCATTGATCCTTAGAATTGTGCTTTTAGTTTCTATGTCATTTAATTCTGCTCTGATCTTGGTTATTTCCTTCCTTCTGCTTGCTCTGGGCTCTTTGTTGTTGTTCCTCAAGTTCTTGTAGACATACGGTTAGGTTGTTTGTTTGAACTGTTTCTGTCATTTTTTTAAAGATTTTATTTATTTATGTTTTAGAAAGGGAAGGGAAGGAGGAAGAGAGAGAGAAACATCAATGTGTGGTTGCTGCGGGTCATGGCCTGCAACCCAGGCAGGTACCCTGACTGGGAATCGAACCTGCGACACTTTGGTTCACAGCCCATGCTCAATCCACTGAGCTACGCCAGCCAGGGCTGTTTCTGTCTTTTTTAGGTAGGCCTGTATCACTATGAACTTCCCTCTCAGGACTGTCTTGGCTGTGTCCCAAAAGTTTTGGGTTGTTGTGAGTTCATTTTTGTTTGTTTCCAGAAAATTTTTGATTTCTCCCTTTATTTTATTCTTTACCCATTGATTATTTAATAGTATGCTATTCAATCTCCATGATTTTGAGTGTTTTGGGTTTCTTCCCTTGGGGGTTGGTTTCTAGTTTCAGTCCTTTGTAGTCAGAGAAAATTCTTGGTATAATTTCCATTTTTTTTTTAATTTTTTGAGACTTGCTTTGTGTGCTATCCTGTGGTCTATCTTTGAAAATGTTGCATGTGCATTGGGAAAAAATGTGTATTTTATTTCTTTGGGATGAAGGGTTCTATATATATCAGTTAAGTCCATTTCCTCTAGGGTATTGTTCAATGCTACAATATCTTTGTAGATATTTTGTTTGGAAGATCTGTCCATTTTTGACAGTGGGGTGTTAAATTCCCCTGCTATAATTTTGTTGCTGTCAATATCTTTCTTGAAGTCCTCTAACATTTTCTTTATGTATTTGGGTGCTCCTATGTTGGGTGTATATATATTTACAATGTTTAAGTCTTCTTGGTGCATTCTTCCCCTGAGTATTATGAAGTGACCTTCTGGATCTCTTTTTATGGCCCCTCTTTTGAAGTCTATTTTGTCTGATATGAGTATTACTACCCCAGCTTTTTTTTTCCTGTCTGTTTGCTTGAAAAATTTGTTTCCAGCCCTTCGCTTTCAGCCTGTGCAGGTCTTTAATCCTGAGGTGGGTCTCTTGTAGGCAACATATGTGTGGGTCATTCTTTCATATCCATTCAGCTATTCTATGTCTTTTGATTAGAGCATTTAATCCATTTACATTTAAGGTTATTACTGATAGATACTTATTTATTGCCATTTTCATACCTGTGTTCCTCTCTCTCTCTCTCTTTTCCTTAAAACAGGGCCTTTAGCATCTCTTGCAGAGCTGGTTTGGTGGAGGTGTATTCTTTTACACTTCTTTTATCTGGGAAGCTTCTTATTTCACCTTCTATCTTGATTGAGAGCCCTGGTGGGTAAATTAGCCTTGGTTGGAGACCTCTGGTTCTCATTACCTGGAATATTTTTTGCCATTCTCTTCTGGCTTGGCGTGTTTCCATTGAGAAGTCAGCTGC